TTTTTTTTTTTGGCCCAATTTTGACCAATTTAAGAGAAGATGTCAATGGTTTTTGCATTAGAATTTAAGTAATCTTAGCCATCCAATATATATAATATATGTATATGTATTTATTTATTTAATTTTACTTAGGCAGGCCGGCGAGCGGGTAAGCCCGCCCTGCCTCGGCCTGCACGGGCCAGCCTGCATAGGCCCACCAGGGAAAATTAAGGCCCAACCATCCATTTTGCGGGCTGTTTTGATAGCTCTAGTTCATAGGTAAATTCCAAGCTTGCATCGATATATCTAGCTCAGAGAATTCAGGTGCTCTGGGGTGATATCTTCACACCAGTCTTTGAGGATTAAGAACTTGTTCTCGAAGGTCCAATTAAGACCTTTGCTCAGAGAATTCATGGTGCTCTGGGCAGATATCTTCACACAAGTAGTCTGACCCCCGCAAACCACATATCAAATAGTCATGTGAATGCACTATTTTTTTGTTGTGCAGACCGGACCATGGTTTATCTATTGGACTAGAATCTCATAAAACGAACACACGATTAAAGGTTGATTGAAGATGTAATTTGATCATGTCCAGGCTAACAAACTGCTCTAATTAAGTTGTAAGCGGATTGGAATTGTACTCTTACCAACTACTTTTGTCAAATTATTATTTTTTTATATTTTTTAATTATTTTTTTTTTTCGAAACGACATAATTTATAACTTAAATATGGGACAAAATTCGACGGGGAAAGCCAATACATGCGATCCCGCTAATCTGATTAACCTGAGAATAATCGGTGTGTTGTGTTTAAAATTTGAATCTACATAAGAGTAGTTCATGTTGTACTTGAGTAGACTTGACCAAATCCTATCCTTAACCAACACGTTGATAGTGTGGAGATATTATAATTAAGGGAAATGCTACAGTCTCGTTACGGTATCATCTCGTCGGGTGTTTTAACCGTTGGATTCATATTTAGTTAGATAAGATAGATGATCCAACGGTTAAAATACCCGACAGGAGATCGAATGAGTGGTCGTCCAAATTACAACATTATTAAATAAAATAAAATTACATTAATCTAAAAAGCTAGTTTTAAACGTCCCAAACTTTTGACTTCTCCTCCATAAAATTTCCTTTCTTTTTTCCTCACGGATTTTTATTTTCTCCCCATTTATCCTCCATTTTTGTTCTTCTTCACCTCATGTTGATGCTTTATCTCATCTCAATCCATAGACCATAGTTGATAACAGCTGAAATCTTCACCGCACAATCGGAATAAAATCCCCCATTTTCGTTCTTCTGAAAAAGGGTTTTTTTTTTTTATCACATACGTTTGTTGGGTATGGCGGAGTCGGTAGAGCTGCCCGGTCGGCTTGCGATTCTTCCTTTTCGGAACAAAGTCTTGCTACCTGGTGCGATCATTCGTATCAGATGCACTTCACCCAGCAGGTTTTTTCAGTTTTCGTGTTCTAATTCCTTATTTTGAGGGTTTTGTGCTCTTCTTTGTGATGATGAATGCTCGTGTTTGTGGTGCCAGTGTGAAGCTGGTGGAACAGGAGTTATGGCAGAGGGAGGAGAAAGGGCTCATCGGAATTCTGCCAGTCCGTGATGCTGCCGTGGAGCCGGGCCCCGCGTCTTCTCCAGGTGAATTAACGTTCGGTTTGGATCATTATATTGTTTGATGGGAAGAGAGATTGTCGGACCTGGTGGAATGATTCATCTAGTAACTAAAATATCTTTGGTTGTTTACTGTTGGGAAAAGTTTAAACTTGAAAAAGAAGTTGCCCTTATAAGTTGTATGGTATATTATAGTTATGTGGTCGACTTAATTGTTTTGGAACTGTCTTTGATGGCCTGGAAACTGACATTAGGAGAACGAAGCTCGAAAACCCAAGACGAGGCATCGGGGTCCCACAAAAATGTCGGTAAGAATCAACAGGAGGTTATCCATTGGCACAATAGGTATCCTGATAATTGGTGTATCTGGATTCTGTTAGACTTTGGATTTGCTCAAATTTATCGGTCTATAACATTCCATTTTTTTCTGTTCAGAGGAGTTGCAGCTCGGGCGCTACACCTGTCGAGAGGAGTGGAGAAACCAAGTGGGAGGGTCACCTACATCGTTGTTCTTGAAGGTCTGTGCAGATTTAGTGTGCAGGAGTTAAGCACGAGAGGAACATATTACACCGCTCGGATCACTCCCCTTGACATGACAAAAGCTGGTAAACATGTGTCAACTTCTTTCCTTTTGAACTGCAAGTAATTGGATACAGCACATCTATGTGCATAATGTGCATGGTGAATTTTGAAGCACAAAGATGCTTAAGTAGCTCTCGGGATAAAATCACGTCTCAGCCGCCGTATGCAGCGAAGGGGTCACCCTCGACATGCGGAGGTTGCCACTCGCCGAAGGGATTCACCTCCGAGTGGTATCCTTGTCGTCTTCGTCGTCAGACGGTGGTTGTGGAGATCTCCGGCGGGGCACCCCACCTGGACCACGGCCTCCACGTCTTCCGTAAACTCCCCGTGAATGCCTCGGTTGCCGGCGTCACGGTTTGTCTACAAATCCTCAACCAACGTTGTTGATCGTAAGACGCACTTCTTCGATCCCATCGAAAGATCCTCAACCCGACGATCCAATTGGCGGCCGATGCCTGTGGCTCGTCGACTGAGTATTGGTGTCACTAAATGTTACTAAATGGAAGGGTTTTGTGCTCCTTTGTTAAAATTCATGCTTTGCGTGATGTATTGCTCAAGTGGGATCTATGTGCCTTGCTGTCATTTCACTTAAAAGAATGGATTCCTTTGAGTTGTTTGATTGCTCTACGATGTTTTGCATACGTTGGGGATAAGAAATTGTTAGAGCTTTCACTGGCTGAATACACCGCGTGAGGGAATATATATATCATTTGCAAAAATAAATAAGAAGATTGATTGGACATGATGTTCGTCCAACTAAATTGCCTTGAGCCCCTTAAAACCTTGTAAAAGTTTCTGGACCTTCGTTTGGCTTGATGATTCGCCTACCCTCTAGTGGAGTATCTAGAACATACATCGGAATTAGTCTGTTACCGGAAAAACTAAGGCAATATTATTGATTTGACATTCAAGAAATCAAAATGCTTCATTACAAGCTTGATATAAGGCAATTTTGGAGCATTGGTTTTAAATCTCTAAAAGTCTGAATAAGTGGAGAATGATCACACTGAACGGTGTAACAATTTACTTGTTTAGTCTGCAGAAGCCGTAAAAGTCTCTGAGTAGTTATTCAAGCAACGTAGTGAAGAAAATCCAACCAATGATGGGAGCTGATGAGGATTCCATTTTGAGGACTGGCAGGGTGATAGGCTCATGGGCATATAAACCTACAATTTCGTGGTTGAATAACCTTTACACTTGGGGTTGCTTGGTGCCATACCAAATGCGTTGAATGAGAAAACAAACAGAATTGCCCACATACTATGTTATTATCAGTTTCTCTTCTTTATAGCTCTCTGTAATTTTGTGTGCACCATATACAAATGTGAATTAATTATATTCATAGAATTGAAATCAGTTTTCACTGAAAAGGATTGACAATACGTTCTGGCGTAACTTGTTTCCACTGTTTTATATAGTTGCATTTTGAAAATGCTGACTTATTTTCATTTGATGTATCCTGGTATAAATGTAACATCTGAGTGTGCAGCACTATCTTTTGTCATGATACTGAATAAATAACATTTCATATTATAACATTTCATATTCTTATTGTTAGAGATGGATCAAGTGGAGCAAGATCCTGATTTCATAGCATTGTCCAGACAATTCAAGGCCACAGCTATGGAGCTTATTTCTGTCCTTGAGCAGGTAATTCTTAATTTTTTATTTCAAGTCTGGCTTGTTAGTTAAATTCTAAGACATCCCCGAGGAAGTGGTGAGTTAACCAATACAAGTTACATTCAAATTATTTGCTTAGTAACAGTTGATTGCTCTCTAAGAAGTTATTTTTGTATCTAGAAACAAAAAACTGGAGGGAGGACTAAAGTTCTCCTGGAGACGGTTCCTGTTCACAAATTGGCTGATATATTTGTTGCAAGCTTTGAGATTAGCTTTGAAGAGCAGCTATCCATGTTAGACTCTGTTGATGTGAAATTGAGGCTTTCAAAGGCAACTGAATTGGTTGATCGGCATTTACAGGTATCTGCCTACTGGGGTTTGACATTTTAGGATCTTGTAGAACCATGAATCATACTTTATGTTGTCCTTGCCTCTGCGCTCTGCAGTCAATTCGTGTAGCGGAGAAGATCACACAAAAGGTTGAGGGACAATTGTCAAAGTCACAAAAAGAGTTTCTACTTCGTCAGCAGGTTTGTTATTTCATATCTTGTGTCTATTGAATTTCTCTGGCGTGGGTAGGATGAACGATGTGAAAGTTCCTCTGCGTATATTCAGTATTTTATTAACACTAGTACAACACCCACCATTGTATTACGCGGGTGCTTGTAAAAAAATTATTCTTAAATTTTGAGAAAAAGTGTTTTAAAATTTAAATACCTTTTTACAAAAAAAAAAAAAATATATTATCATATATTTTAGACTGTCACTTGTTCGACTTACATGTATTATATTATAACAATTTTTTTAACTTATATCATATAACTCCTTGAAATATAAATATATTGATCGATAAATAATTTATTTCTGTAATTAATATTAACACATAATTATTGTTAAAAAGTAAATATAATTAATTAATTTTATACATACAATGTGGAAGTCAAATCGAGGCTCATCAAGCGTGACTTATTTGATATATTATATATGTAAAGCTAATAAAAAACACAAAAGTTAATAACTCTTAAGATACATTTGCAATTCAACGGTTATAGTAAGAAATGGTATTAAAATGTAATTAATACGTGTAACATAACCATAAATAATCAATAAATAATCAATATATTTATGAACAATCTGAACCTAATTATTTTTGGATTGGAAGTAAATTAAAATCTATCCATGCCAAATAATGAAACATGAAATTTTGCCACATAGGATCCCGAATCATGCGAGTCTGCCACTTACGCTCAGCACATTCGGGAGTTATATATAAGAGGGATTTGTCTCTGTTAAGAGAAACTATTTCCATAGGTTAATTTGCTCCTCTGCCTGTGTTGTGTATTTTTAGTTACACTTGTCTCCTTTGGCAGAAACTTTATTTCATAGCTTAATTATATTTGGGACATACCAGATGAGGGCAATAAAGGAAGAACTCGGTGATAATGACGACGAGGAGGATGATGTGGCTGCTCTAGAGAGGAAGATGCAAGATGCTGGAATGCCAGCGAATATCTGGAAACATGCTCAGAGAGAATTAAGGTACAACTATAAATTTCTCTGAAGTTTTTTTCTCGCTGATATGCTGTTCATTATTGAACAGCTACTTGAGCCAGAGGTTTCACAGGCTTATTTGTTGCATCATTTGTATGAAGTTCACTGTTGTAAAAGTTCACCTATTACCACCTACATTTTTTATCCGTTTATATCCCGCCAGGCTCTTATTATATCCTGCTTTGGTGCTAGGCCCCTTTCCACCCCTTAGAGATTGCCTAGCCATTTTTTCAATATATTAAATCATGACAATTCTCCTGGCATAGTGCTAATAATGGCATAGTGCTAATAATGGACTAGATCAAAATGGCTCAATTAAGTTCTAGTGCTTCTTCTATTAGTGAAGTTTCTAGAAAAAAAAATATATCAACCGACGCACTGCACCTTGGGTTGCAATGGAAACAGCTCCTTGTATAATTACAAGGTAAGGTCTGCGTACAACTGACCCCAGACCCCCACCAGTCGGGAGTCGGGAATATACTGGGTATGTTGTTGTATTGAATCATGATAATAATTAGAAACTTGATTCCTTGCTATTTCATTTACATGATTCTTGCGGCTAAATATTTATGAGTTACTTGTACTTTGATTTAATTGTTACATCAGGAGACTGAAAAAAATGCAGCCTCAGCAACCTGGATATAATAGCTCTCGTGTATATCTGGAACTTCTTGCTGACCTGCCATGGCAGAAAGCCAGTGAAGAACGAGAATTGGACTTGAAGGCTGCAAAAGAGCGTCTTGACATTGACCACTATGGTCTAGTGAAGGTCAAGCAGCGGATAATTGAATATTTAGCCGTTCGCAAGGTTGACCTTTTCTTACAGTTATATTTTTTAACAATTCCTGATATAGTATCGATATAGTATATATACCAACATTAAACTGTATCAAATATGTGGTGCAGCTCAAACCAGATGCAAGAGGCCCAGTATTGTGTTTTGTTGGTCCACCGGGTGTTGGAAAGACATCTTTAGCTTCATCAATCGCTGCGGCTTTGGGTAGAAAATTTATCCGCATATCCCTTGGTGGTGTAAAAGATGAGGCTGATATTAGAGGGCATAGACGTACATATATTGGGAGCATGCCTGGGCGTCTTATTGATGGATTGAAGGTGAGATTCATCTTATAATAGTGTTTTTAGGTATCTTGAGTTTTTTCAGATTTCCTGAATGAAGTGTGTCTTATCAGGAATGAGACAAGTGGTCTATAAATGGCCGTTTTAGGGGGTTTGATTTAGTGCTGCAGATGATTTCAGTTTAGTTGGTGAGAAATGCCGTGATTAAAATGATGCTTAGAAGAACCTTGAAGGACCTTTTGAATCTGAATGCAGCTTGTTTAATCGAGACAGAGAGCTATTTTAGAATTTGAAAAATAAGACTATCCTTCAAAGTAAAGAAACATTAAATTAATTTTTTTGTTTGAAATTCTTAGGACCCTCTTGTTCTCTCACAATAAATTGAAAGTTCCCTTTCTCCTTTTTTTCATCCTCTCTGCTGTGAGTTATGTAATTTTGTAATGTTTAACTTTCTTAGACCAGAACTGAGGTGTTCTTTTCTTTTGTAGAGAGTTGGTATCTGCAATCCGGTTATGCTGTTGGATGAGATTGACAAAACAGGTTCTGATGTTCGAGGTGATCCAGCTTCTGCACTGCTGGAAGTCCTTGATCCCGAACAGAACAAAACATTTAATGATCAGTATCCATCCACAATCTATTTCTGACAGTTTTCTCATTATCTAGGAGCCAAGCCATTGCATGATCAAATCTTTCTCACATTGTATGAGGTTCTCTCGTGAAATTTTGAGATGATTTATTTTTCCTTCCATCTTCATTTCTTTCTAATCTCGTTATCCTGAATTTTTTCCTTGGGATTTTTGGTGTTTGGGGGGTTTGAGGCTTGTGTTCGGTTTATGAAAATGGGGAAAGATTGTATTTATAGCAAGATTTATGTGCATTTCATTCTTTCTGGGGCATGGAGAGATGAACTGGTGCAAGTCATAGTTTGATTCCAGCACATACTTTGAATATAGTTGAGTAAATGCGACTGAGTCTTGACATCCAGTAAACATATTACTCTGCTGACCCTTGACTGAAGTTTTTAGCTATTTGAATGTGCCATTCGATCTTTCAAAGGTTATCTTTGTGGCTACTGCTAATAGAGTACAACCTATTCCTCCGCCACTTTTAGACCGGATGGAAGTCATTGAGCTGCCAGGATATACACATGAAGAGAAACTCAGAATAGCGATGCAGCATTTAATTCCACGAGTTCTTGATCAGCATGGCTTGAGCCTTGAATTTCTTCAGATTCCCGAGGTAGGGAAGTTGTCATGCATTTGGTTCACTGAAGTGTGGGAATGATTCTAGATTTTTGGTTAGTAGGTGTTGCATGTGTGAGTCATTCTTTTCTTGTGATGGATCAACTTTGGCAGGAATTTCTACCTTTGTTGTTTGATATTAAACAATTACTGAAGGAGATAGTAAAAATGTGTTTTAATTGTTGATTCCATCTGATAGCCTGATTAGATGTGTACTGCTTTAGGGGACTTATTTGTTACTGAACTAGTAATCTTGTCAATCTGAAGTAGAAAAGTTGATGATTATCGGTATAGGTTATAGGTAGAGATTATTTCTGTTCAACGATTTCTCATTAAGGGTGTCCTGGGGGCATTTAATGGAGAGACTAGCGAATTCTTAGTTATACTGGCTTTGTTGTTTCTATTGCAGGCTATGGTAGAACTTGTAATTCAAAGATATACTAGAGAAGCTGGTGTGCGTAATCTGGAGAGGAACTTGGCTGCCTTAGCTCGTGCTGCTGCTGTCAAAGTCGCTGAACAAGATAACATTGTGCCACTTAGTAAAGATGTCCAACAACTGGCCTCACCATTGTTGGATGGTAGACTATCTGAGGAGTCTGAAGTGGAGATGGAAGTGATGTCAATCGGTGTTAACAATCATGACATATCAAATGCTTTTAGGGCCGTTTCACCTTTCATTGTGGACGAGGCCATGTTGGAGAAGGTGCTTGGAGTAAGTGGTATTATGTTTCAAGATCAATAGTGTATGAGTTAGAATCCTTATGTATTTGAAGAAGGGTTTCCCGTACTTTTATTTACTGTTCTATCTGTAAAATTTTCGTTTATTAACTAAAATGTGATGCAATTCTGTGTTTGTTGATTATCAGCCTCCAAGATATGACGATAGAGAAACTGCTGACAGAGTTGCTACGCCTGGTGTATCTGTCGGATTAGTATGGACAGCATTTGGAGGGGAGGTTCAATTTGTTGAGGCTACTGCAATGGTTGGAAAAGGTGATTTGCATCTAACTGGCCAACTTGGGGATGTTATAAAGGAATCAGCACAGATTGCATTGACATGGGTAATAATTTTATATCCTTTACATTTATGTGCATCGTGCTATTTATAATGTATAATACTTGTGGTTCTTCCTATGTACACAGGTAAGAGCGCGAGCAACAGAACTTAAGTTGGCCGCCACTCAAGAGAGCAATCTACTTGAAGGCCGAGATATTCATATACACTTTCCTGCTGGGGCTGTACCAAAGGATGGCCCATCAGCTGGTGTAACTCTTGTTACCTCACTGGTTTCACTTTTTAGTCAGAGAAGAGTTAGAGCAGATACTGCAATGACTGGGGAGATGACTTTGCGCGGTCTAGTCTTACCTGTAGGTGGAATCAAGGACAAGGTCTGTATTTACATCTTGTGTGGTATTAAATTTTGGTTTTGCCACTGAAAAGTCGTGTGTTCTAGTCTCCTTTGCACACTAACAGGGATTGCATTTGTGAAACATTTGATTTAGTTTCAATTTAACTCAACTGGGTGTGGCAAAACGAACCGTTGGAATTCTGACTAGAGTCTACAAGGGATATTATATTTAATGATAAATTTTGACACACGGTTTTAACTGATTGTAGGAAAGTTGATCAGGTTAGTTACAAAACTACACTTGTGGTGCCTTCTTCCATTGGCAATTTAGGTAAAAGGAACAGCTAAATAAAGTGTAACAGTCTAATAGTGGAAAGGCTGGGTGATATCTCCACTAATCTATTTCCTGCTAAAATATTTAGGTTTTTCCTGCGATGTTGCTATCTGTTGTCTTTCGAAGGCTATGTTGTATAGATACCCCTTTAGAAAAGAACAAATTGCATAATATATATTTACATAAACGTTGAGATGTATGTCAATAATGCAAATAAAGTCCTTTCTTCTTTGTTTAATATAACTTGAGATAGCACAATTTTTAGTCACCAATTCGATTACTGAGCTAACTGCTGTACAGGTTTTAGCAGCTCATCGATATGGAGTTAAGAGGGTCATTCTCCCAGAGAGAAACTTAAAGGACTTAGTGGAGGTGCCAGCCGTCGTTCTCTCAAGTCTCGAGGTAAATTTTGATTCTGTATATGTCGTAATCTTTTGCAGGTTAATGACTACGAGTCACATCTGTTGAATATGTTATTGTATACTTTATTTCCTGTATTTTTTTCGTATTTAGACGGATTAAAATCTTCTTTGCATGGTAGTATGATATTTTTATTTTGAAACGTATTATAACTTAGTATTTGCTCCATCTTTACCTATGGGGACCTCTTCTACTTGCAATATACAGAGATTTTCCATTTTTTCTTTTTGATGGTAATGTTCAAGTAATGAATTAAGAATAGCTACATTGAATATACAAGTTCGAGAATTTTCTTTGTCCGATTCATCATATGTGAATGTAATGTTGTTGCTCGGTCAATAGATATTATTTGCTAAGCGGATGGAAGATGTCTTGGAGCAAGCATTCGAGGGTGGTTGTCCTTGGCGAGTGCATTCCAAATTATGACAGCCGTTTGTCTCGTGAAGTCCTACAAAGCCTATATAGATATATTTGCTCATCTGACCACAGAACTATTCAACACGGGCTTTCATTTTGCCGGCATCTGGGAGATTTTCCTCTCCAAGTTCAAAGGTGTGGCAATCTGGAGCTGTTGATACTATATACTAAATGACTTGTGATATCTACACATTTGTCTTGCCTACTTTTTCTGGCTCCAAGCAAGCAGTGTTTGCAGGAATACAATGTAAAATAAAGGAACTATGTTCGCATAAATAAATAAACTACGAATATACACTTGACTGGAAAACATGAATCTCATTCAAAGTGGAATTGAGAGTAACCCAAAGCCCATTAACTCTCATCTTATTTGCTTTTTTATGTTGATATGATATATGGGCTGTGTGGATTGAGATTTATAGTAGGAATTGATTAATGGTCATTGCCTCGAGCTTTGTTGCTTCCCTCTATCCATGTCTCCTTAAAAAATTCTATGGAGTCATCAGATGGTTCTCTTATAGAGTCATCCATAACTTTATGTACTGACACATGTCCAGTCCAATGTGTATTTATTGCAGGACACGTGTTAATACATCATTTGTGAATAACTATAGATGGCTCCATAAATCGAGCCATCTGATGGCTTCATAAGAAAATCAATTTTTCTCTGGTTTTGCTCCTTTTTGACGCCTAAATTTGAACTTTATCGTTGTTCTAATAGCGAAGCATTGGACTTGTTCCCTCATATCTTGAGATTTGATACTCAACCTTTATTGAAGTTGTTCGACAGAAGTCTAAACTGCTCTGTTATAACTTTTGACGCTTATCTGTGCAAGAAGATGATACATAAAATTAAGAATAATTTCTTTTCATTTTACGGCAGATCGTTCAAAATTTAATTAAATTCTTAAGATTTTTTTTTTTTCTTTTTTCTACTGTAAGCACGTAGGCAACGTTTATGAATATGTATGATTTTAGATATAAAATATATCTTATATATTATATTAATAACATGTAGTCAACAATCTTTCTCGTCTTGCATTGCTGTGATTATAAACCAAGACAATAATCAGAATAAGTATAATAAAAAATCTGAAAAGGACAGAAAGCGGGATGCTTGGATACATATTTTTCTAAAAAAAAGTCTAATTATTTTTAACGAACCATTTTTTTTTTAAAATTTAACTTTAATTCAACTCCACTATCATCAATATTGTAAATATAATTAACTAATATCAATTAATCGCTATTACACATTACATCAACTTTAGTTCACTATTATATACTCACATAATATTAACTAACCATCATTCTATATCATCCATCTCTTACTTCTACATCAAATCAATTTTAATAATTTTTATTTAAATATTATTGTAATATAAATTCAAAACTCCACTAACAATTAACTATATCACTTTTTTCAAAATTAACCATACCAAAAAAAAAAAAAAAAAAAAAAAAAAAAAAAAAAAAAAAAAATTATATCCAATGTTTTATGTGATGATAGTGGCATGATCGCCAATGAAAACCAAACCATGATAGTGGTAGGTAATGAACTCTTTTCCCTTAATTATAGCTACATTCTTGTTTCCGTGTACAGTTAACCAACGGCACGCAAATAGGTCATATAATGAAAACCTCATTGCCCTGCGACGGAAGTACAAATACAGTTCAGCCAAAAGTTCGCACCAAGCACGAACCGTTTTCGTTAGTTCAGTTCGCGTCAAACCGAAAATGCCTCGGAAATATGTGCACGCACCGTACAACCAACTCAAAAATTCTCAGCATAACAGTTGGGGACAAATAAGCACATGATGATTCACACCCAAAGCCAAGCAACTTTCCATAAAAACATTATATATCTCACATTGTAACATATTAGGTCTAGCAAGAAAAGCATTACTTCTGCACACCAACACTCTGGGATAACACTTAACAGTATCACCATTCAACTAAACAAATGTTTTGTCCAAGAAAACAAAATGATTACATGTCGAAAGATGAGCAGCAACAAACCACTATTCAGGCATGTCGTATGTAGGCAGTAGCTGCTCAAAACGACATGATGCTGATGATGTCACTTTTGCAGGCTTATGTAGCAAGCACAGCTTCTTCCTCAACCCCCTTATGCTTCAAATCCCGGCCCATGTAATGTGTGCACTAAACCGGGTTATAGGTTTTTTCTTAGCTCAAGCTGTGCACCCCAAAAGCCAATTTCGTTGAGCGAGATAACCTCCTTCTAGTCAAAAACTAAAATCCGGTCCTTTTTTCAGAATCATCCACCAAAAACTTCTGTCAAAAATCAACCCGATATCTTTCCAAGCTTCTAGAACCATCTTTGAAGCAGATGGTATTGAAAACCATGTTTCTAACGCTAGGACAATAATCCGTTAAAAATTCAACCGTTGTAGTGTAGCTTATGATTCTGGGAACTTTGGGCCTGCTGTGATGGATTCTGTTGCTGGGAATTTTGTACATTTAATGGCTGACTGTTATAGTGAGTAAATGGCTGTGAATACATTGGATTTAGCAGATTCTGTAGAAAAGCAAGCAAGTTGATTCAACAGCCAACTACAGTACTTAAAGGCAAAAACATTAAAGTTGTATGTCCATAATACAAACACACACACACACACACACACACACACACACACACACACACACACACAGAGAGAGAGAGAGAGAGAGAGAGAGATCACACCTGTGACTGAAGATTGGCACTTGCCAAACCAAAGTGATTCTGGGAAGCATCCTCTTGAGATTGATCATTAAATGCACCCTGTGTAAATAATCCTTGTGAACCTTGGGCCATATACTCCTGAAACAGATAAGGTGTTTAACAAATGAATGGAAAAAATAAATAAACCGAACTGCAAAAACCAAAATCAAAGTCTTAGGTATGTCAAAGATACTAAACGGTATGGCTTCCATGGTTCCCTACTTCCATCAAAAAAGATAAAGGTGTGTAACCTATGCGCAGGCCTGATACACACATGCCAAAAGAAAACAGAAACTTTCTATTCAAACCTGAGACATGTAGTCATTTCCTGGGGCAAAACGAGCATATCCAGCTTGTGAATTCTGGTTTAAAAAGCTACCAGGAAACCCACCTTGAGCTCCTTGTGCAACATAGTCAACAGCATATCCACCCTGAGAAGCCTACAAAATTCATCACTTGCTCGTTTAAGGAGTGCCATATTTATCATTATAACATGAATGAGGCAATTCAAATATATATTCTAGTGCAAACAAACATAAATAACATAAAGGACAAGAACCTGGGTAGAGAACTCAGCAACATTATAAGGGACATGCGATCCCTGACTTTTAAAATCGTCACCCAAGAAATCCTGTGTCACAGATGAATATTCAGCATAAAGAAAAACCATCCAAACATATACATCTATGAGTGACAGTAATAAATTTTTTACAATTAACCTGAGACATGCCACCTATAGAAAATCCATCCCTATAAGTTTGGCTTGGTCCTTGACCTGTCACCTGCAGTTTGGGAATAACTTCTTAAGATTATCAAAATTACTGAAAAGAATATAATAGTGTCCAGGAAAAAAGAAGAAAAAAAAAGTTGTAATCGAACTAACATTAGAAACGTAGCCAGGTTGAGATTGTGGTCCGGCCACAGTCGGATGACTACCAGCATTCTCCATGGATGGGAAATTGAAGTTAGAAGCACTTCCAATGGGGGCTTGCATGCCTTGCTGTTGTGGAAGATGGCTGCCAACGGGCGAACTGGAATTCCCACGCCCAGTACCACCAAATCCTCTGCTTCCAGGTTGTGGTATTTGAGGTACAGCTCCAACAGGTCCATGCACAGCACCACGAGTGGGAATGGCATAAGGTTGTGATGGAGGGGCCCCATGGTATGGAGGAAGGGGTACCCGAGGCAGTGCATAACCAGAAGGGTGCATACCAGGCTTATGAGCACCATTGGGTGGGCCAGGTGGCATGTAAGGACCTGCTCAAAGTCGATCGTTATTATTCTCAGTATGATCCATGTGTATTCATGATCTTCAAAAGTATTCACCAACCATATATATATTTACTGTATGTACATATTTATATATAATAGTTTTGGGCCTCTTGGAATGTTATTTCGACAACAGAGTCATTACTAGTGATTCCATATTTTGACAATGGCCAGCTCATAAGCAATTTATGAACAAATAAATACTAGCAGGATAATACCCCTGGAGCGGGGACCCCTCCTGTCAGCAGTTGGACTAGAGGCAGCAGATCCAAAAGCATCGTTGGGAACAATTCCTGGTCCTCCTCCATAGAATAGTCTTCGTTCATTGTATACCTGGGCCAATATTAACCACGTTGTTAAAGCACCCAAAATAAACCAACTATAAAAACTAGTAAAAGATCTGTGAAAATAATTTTGGTAGTTCGGCCACTTACCTTTTTGGGCTTCTGAAATTGAACCATACTCTGCTTTAGGTTATTCAGAGGTCCTTCGACCAAGCACTCATGTTCCTGAAAAACCAAAACTATAGAATGAACATCATAATATTTTGAATGATCATAATAACCAAAGTAGTCAACTTAAAGATATATCTATCTTAAAATCATAGTGTCTGCTACAACTAGAACTCATTGTTTATATAAAGAGGAACAAAATAAAAGCAAGATAATACCTTATAGTGTGTTAATAAGCCATTCCAAAGAGGTTGCTTGCTAAGAACTTTAGGATTTCCCAAGATGACAATACCATAACGAGCACGTGTCAGGGCAACATTAAGTCGGCGTGGATCATTGAGGAAACCAATGCCCTGATGATGGCCAAAACGAGATCAGATCAAGGAATTTTAATGTAGGCAGGAAATGAATACAATGATAAATTAGAGCGATATACAACTCCACCAGAATCCTAACATCCTATTCCCTAAAAACTAGCCAATATTTACCCGGACTCTTCTATTTAGGAAGAATACCCGTGTCATGTCGTGTCGACACTGGTGTGGGTATGAGTGTCGGGTGTGGCATTTTAGCCTAAAATGTTCAAGATTTCTAAACAATTGACGAGTCGGACGCTCATATCTCCACACCCGATATGCCACCCATATCCGAGTCCAGGTAGCATAGCAAATTATTTATCATTTGATAACTAGAATGTAAAATCTTGTCCCAAATAATTGATGTTTTGTGAATTCAAGGTTCGTTTTTCAACTTTCTCTTCAGTTTGCCCTGTCACATCCTCTTATTTTGTGTGAATACGCCTACGGTCTACGACGGCAAATACTTTGGGAAAGAGGGACTAGTATTCACCAATATTCATAACGCAATGAATTATGCAATTCAAGGCCCACTGAAAGTTACAGAACCAAAACATTGCATAGAGTATTTTCTTTTGGTCATTGTAACCATCTAAAACAAGTCGCTTAGCAAGAAAAATTCCTAGGCCGATCTATCTATGAACAGGATTGAAGAGGAAAGGCAAATTCCAAAAATGGTCAATGTTTAATAAGAAAAAAGCAGAAGAGTTGTGATTGAAGCATAGTGGTGTACGCATTGTACTAAAAGCTTAAAATAGAAACAGGGAAATGACAGGTAAATGTTCGGTTACGTTGAACAAGGTTAGGTTGTACAGAGACAATGGAGCAAGGCTTGGTAATAATCCAATGCCATATGGATAACAAAACAAGCCCCAGGAGACACAACAACATTCCCAAACACCATAATGTTCAATGAAGCTGTTTATATCTTTAACCATAATGTTCCACATGCAAGATTGACGTGGAAACAAGATCAAACAAAAAAACCAAGAGAATGCGGCAATAATGAAATAGAGTGGGAACAAGAGGAGCAAAGATAAGGGAAATCTTCAGCAACAATATGATATACAAGCACAAGGACCCACCTGATGTTCATTACTCCTCACACAAGACAAAATTATATAATCCTTTTCCCTGCCTTGAAATGAATCTACACTTGCTACCTGAGGAAAAAGAAACGTCAATTTTTTTTCCTAACTTGTGAAATGTAGAAATCAAATCTACTGTGGTATGCATAATTGCCTCAATTTCTTTGTATAACTGCTGTCGCAGAGCACCATTACGGGACATATAATTGACGATGTATGCTCGTTGGCCTTCATAAGGTGTAATGACACCAATCTGTGGAACACCAGCAATACAACAATTATTTGTCAATATAAAGCAGAACAAATCAACTAACAGATGTAAGAAGCTTCAGTGAACCTGACTAGGAACAACACCACTCTTCAAGAAAGTGGTCACAATTTTCTCAACATTTGCAGCCTCAGTCCTATTTAGATATGATGTTCCACTGGAACTTATCTCCTCTTGTCCCATCTATACAAGTCAACAAAAAAGGTGAACGAGCAATATAACCACATAGGTAAATCTACTCAAACATGCAACATAAGAGGAAGCAAGTGCATCTGCTCAAACAAGGAAAATAAGAGAAAGCTACCTACCCCTAGGCTCACACATAGAAAAACGTGGATATGTACAAGGACAATCAAATTATAAACAAATAACATCCCTTCGTTGCACTAACTAAACTATGAACCAAAGAAATTATTCCAGACAATGAGCAACCATAATAATTTCCAGCCATCGAGCAAACGCAACAGAAAAGATGTCGATAATTCAGACAGATCCATTTTACATAAGGGGATGTCATATACCTGGACATAAAAGAACATGGGACGATTGGGTACTGGCCAAGGGAAATCAATGCCAGGTGATTGCCTTTCATTTATTGTTACACCATTTTGGAGAGTACCTTCATAAAAGCTATTAGAAGGAAACTCTGAAAGAGCAGGATGCATCCTATACTGAACCTGGCAAGAGATCCAAATTTAAGGTTTAATGGTCCTGTTTCACTATATATGATATATAGAAAGAGCGATATGAACACACCACACACATACCACTGTTATGTAGACAAGAATTAAAAAAGAAAGTATTATCTTACACTAGCATCTCCAGTTTCACCGTCTTAATTGCACATGCAAACAGTAAAAGTGATGTACACTTTTGAAAAACACATATTGACTTATAAAAAAGTACCCTATTGCTAATACTGCTCTCTTTTATTATTGGGGTGGGGAAAGAGCACACAGGACGAGGGTTGCAACTGGAGAGATATAAGGTTCGTGAAAAATATCATTGTCCGCAGAAATTGCACTCTTAGTTAACTGGGGATATTCAATTCAGTAAAGAATACAGCTACCTCCGCAAATTAAAAAGGAACATAAAATCACCTGCAATCTAATTGGTTTTACACCAAGAAGCACAAGTCTCTCAAACAAAGATTGGGCTAACCCAGCTCGGGCAGCTTTCTTGCACATAATGACAGGACCAAGTTGGCAGTGGTCTCCCACAAGAATAACCTGCACAAATCTTGTTAGTAAAGTTAAAGCAACATGTAAAGTATGTAATAAAGCTAACCTCGTTTATACCTGCTTTACCCCAAGAACCAATGGAATAAGGCACTCAGGTTCTGTTGACTGGGTGGATTCATCAATAAGGACCTACATAAAAAATCCAAAGTTGGAATATCGGCCGAGGGAATTGGGATATAACCAATAGTTCCCCCACTCAGAATATAACCAATAGTTCCACCACCCAGGGGAGTGGGGGAACCATCAACTAAATTCTCTTGTTTGGCACAACATATTTACCTGGCGAAATCTAAAATTCGCTAATCGAGGATCCCCAGCTCCAACACATGTACAACAGATAACATCAGCACTCTGAGATATCTCCCTTTCAGTGGCTCGCTTGAGCGCTTTGTATTTTTTCTCGTCGCTGCTGGATAATTCTCCTGTAAGAATATAGGAAAAATTGGAAACCAGCTAACATTATATACTCGAGCCATTATTTATACTCGCATATGAAAGACTGTTCACTTAAGATTTTCCGACATTAACATCAGAACATCCTGGGAACCATGCACCATATATTCATATATTTTGATAGGTCCAATTGTAAGGTAATTTCTTTTTTTTTTAAAGGAAATCGAGTTTTAAGCATTTTGCATAAACAAATGTACTTTTTTACACTTAATTCACATTTCAGTTATAGCTTACTCGTTATTTATCCAATTTTGATGCATGACAACAAATTGATCATTTTTTCATGATCTGCATATAGACACCATCACAACTTGTTGGAATTTACCAATAGAAATTTACCTTTTCAGAATTTACCAATTAATTTTTCATTTTCACAAATTTCTTTTTCAATGGATGGTTTTGGGCATATGGACTAGAGACAAAATTAACCCTATATTTATTGGCATTATCAAAGACATGTTTCAGTTTCTTCGCTGCAAGTTTCAGATATAACTTTACTGCATAGACCTTCAATGTTGACGAGTCCCCTACTATAACTGCTGAGTTGGAAAGTAAAACACCTCCAAGAGCAAGTGTGAAAGTTATGATATTTAAACTTTAGCCTAAATGCCACTTCTTGCTCACTTCTCACCAAAAAAATAGCAATTCTTATTTTAGCCGGATCATATTCTCATGTAATCATATATTAATGTTTTTCTTCACCGATCATATTTATAAATAGCAACCACTACATTAAATAAAAAAAAAATACCACTTATAATTCATGAACGATCAGCACACCAAGTGTGCCAAGTGCCAACTGCCAAATGCCATTGTCACTAGCAGATAATCATAAAGGTTAAAAGGAGCAGGTATTATCCTAAATATTATCCGGCTCAAACTACATGATAGATCCCCAAAGCACATTCTTCGACGAGCCTAATCTGGTTCATTTGATATGAACATATTCAAGTATTCAACATTGATTATGTTTAAAAATCACAATACAAAATGCACATAAAAAACTAAATGAGAGGCCAGCAATATCTAAAAAACTAATTGAGATGACTCCCATCCACAATAAAGAAACAAAAAAAAAAAAAAAAAAAAAATCTAATAAACAAGAAAAGTGAAAATCATACCTTGTTCATCTTTCAGTTGCTGTAACTTATGAAGTTCACTCTTTTCAGAAGTGTCTAGATGTCTAACCTGTAGACAAGACACAAAAGCAGCCACCAATATCCACATATTGGCATATAGAACTTAAATCACCTTGAAAATAGCTCAAACAATACATTTAATTCCACTATCAGCCATACCTGATAATGCAATGTCAAATGCTCAACAGGAGAACTAACAGCTTCCCTTGATTTAGCACACAGTCTTACCACCTTATCATGAATCAAACAAAAAAAAAATGAGAGATCAAGGAAAGTCATTTGATTTCTTCAGATCTAATTTATTATATTAGAAAAGGAGAAGAATTTTGCAAAGAGCAAGGTTCAGACTTCAGAGTGATAAGTGACATTATCAGCCAAGTAAATTGCAAATGAAACAATAAGAAATAACAAGTGGAAACTTTCAATCTATTATAAAACAAGGTATAAAGATAAGATCCCTTATTTTCCATTTTGTACATATCAATATGATAGAGAATAATGAAAAAGAAAAAAAAAACAACAAACAAACAAACAAACGGTTTTTCCAGAAATGAGAATAGATTCACAGAATGTAGATGAATACAGGAAAATAGTTCGAGAGTTGATCTAGCATTCCTTCAAATATAGGATCAGATATCATTGTTGGTCAAAAATCAAAAGGCCTAAGCTCATAGTTCTTTGTTGGAAGAGTATACAATTACGACAATTGATAAAAGTAGCGATGTTCTCTAATTACTGAACTGCAAAGTGACAGAAAAAATAATTTACTTTTCCAAACAATCATACATTCAGGGCAAATTTTCTATGGCCATAACTGTTATTAGCATTTTTCATAAGTGATCAATCCCACACGATCCTATAACAAACCTTTGCAGATCCGTACTACAATTTCAGATTACAATAAATATCAGAACCATGGATGTGGGTCACGCATTCAAGGATCAAAATATATTTGTAACCAATATTCACATCGAAGTGGAATTGGTTGGTCGAAGAAGAAATAATCGGTCAAAAATTAGCAATATGCAAACCTTCAAGCCAGTCGCGCTTATCTTTTCAGCAAGCTGATCTACAGCCACATTACTTGGAGCACAGACCAGAACCTGAATGAAAAAATAAATTAAAAGAGCACAGAATCATAAGCTATATATAGTAACCAGAATAGTATCTTCCTCAACATGTATAAAAAAGAAAAGTAACTCAACCTGCCCCTGGCCTTGTTTTGCCATGTGATAAACAATTGCCGCGGATGTCACAGTTTTACCAGTTCCCGGTGGACCTTGGATGAGACTTATAGGCTTTTGTAGGACACTCTTGACGGCAAAAACCTAATCGATGGTAACTCATGATATGTAAAAAACTAAACCAAAACAAAATTACAACACACAGCACAATATAGATCTATAACACCTCATTTCTAGAATACTTTCATATTATTTGATTCATCCTCCAATAGTTGACGAACATGCTTTAAAATTTTTAATCTATCCATAAAAAGTTTGAGCAAACCACTTATCATTACCCATTATTACCCATCATATAATGTGAAGACCCATCTCCTACTCATACACTAACCAAAAACAAAGAAACTTATCAACAGCCCAGCAGCACTATCGTCCAATCTACTCCTTAATTTAGTACAGAAACTTATGTGCATCACTGCACAGACTTTTAGAGATGAGAACAAGAAAAATTGACCCACGTACAACCAAAGCATCCAATTCCATATGTCAAACCATATATAAAGCAACTTATCTTGAGCAGCAAGCCAAAAATACTAAAGATGACCACCATACCTGAGATGCATTAAGCTCTGGAAGACCAGGTGCACCAAATCGCCGAGGCAAAGTGTTGCGAACCATCTGCATCTCAACCTCATGGCCAAGCAGATGATGATAAATGTACCTGCATGCAGCACATTTATATATTTGATAAACAGACATATCCAGACGCACACCAGGGCTTATGATATGTTTGCACTATTTGATCGGAAAATGGACCCCTAATCATAAATAACTGACAACTCATCTCTCAAATCACACCACCTCTTGACGACTAGACGTCTCAAGAAGTAAACAGAATGTGAGTAAAAAGTACTTCAAAGATTATAAGAACATTTTGTCGACCACTCAAACACCATGACGGGTACTTGGCAAGTCAGTAACAGACACAGCAGATAACATGTTAGTGACATTGTAATAGAACCCAAAATTAAAATTTTGTAAAGCAACAAGCCAGCATCATCAACTAACACAAACACAAAGAACAAAAAATAAAATCTGAGCACTCTTCAAGCTTTCCTCCAGTCTTCAATTTCACAAAATATGATCCTTGGAAGACAACATAAATTCTTTCCAATATATTCTTCCAGGGAGGGAGCCTGATGCTGGAATCTTAACTCTGTTTTTCTAGTCGAGAATAATGACTTCGTGTACGCGAATGCAGGTAACATGAATGGATAGCGCCCTTAGTCTTTTCAGTCTTCATCCAAAATATTTTACAGGTAGGAACCAAAAAAATGACTTTTGCACTTACCCACTGACACTAGTTTCATCCACAGCAAAAGTCTTCATGGCCCCCTGCATCCGGTCAAAACTCGTGCTCTTCCAGACAAAGTCAACACTAAAACCATGGTTCAAATCAACAGGAGCACCCTGCTACCATAACAAGAATCAGATTTTTCCCTTTTGAGTGAGAAAAAAATTCAACCAGCACATGCAATTATAGTCAAGCGTACCTGACTTGTACCAAGTTCAAGAGCAACCTCCTCTTGGGCAGTCAATTTTATCTGAAAAAGAAGACTCCGGATCCTCAACATACTTTGAAAGGTAATATAAATTAAGTCTATTACGAGCAAATGTGAGTCAGACCCACTGTTTATCGAAAAAAAAAAAAAAGGACAAAGAAGAAGACCAACGGTAAAGCCTCTGCAAGGAAGGTTATGCAAAAACAACCAGTGGGCCAAAATGCAAAAGCTTGACGTAAGATTAGTAAGTAAAAGAGTTCAAGGGAAGAAGCCATACCACATGACCAACGGACTGCCAGGTGGGATGAGCTGCATCACCTGAATATCGTAAGCGTAACTCATCGCCAGGTACAAGGCGTAACTCATTATCTTCCTACAGGTAACATGCATTCTTCAATCAAGAAATCAATGGGTAATTACACTTAACAGCAAATATGTTACCTTGCAAAAGACTACATTTGTGAAATAAGTTACCTTAGGAAAGACAAAATATGCAATGCGCTTCTTGTTAAGACCAATATCCCATCTAATTGTTATATTGTCTTTGCTTTGAGACTCTTTCATCATCTGCACAAAACCATTGATATCAGAATTAACTATTTTTCCCACAATATGCTTCATTAGTCCACAACGGAAAGTTCCTATTCCATTTTTGGGAAATTACCGATGTATACTACAGCCTAAATTATTCTCTATGATTATAGTGAGAAATAACAAGAGAATCTCTATATAAATCCTCATTCAAAGCATTGAATTCAAAACCAATTTCTTTTTAACTACACCCTCAGAGGCAATACAAATGCATAGAAACATGACGAAGCCATACCTTATCATAGTCTGCCTCAAGCTTGATGAGAGGTGCAAAGACATTTTGATACTGGAGACATACATAGATGATATGGGCAATATAATCAGTCAAGGCAGAAAAAGAAAATGCATTCCGTTGCCATTACAAGCAACTTACCTTAAGTCAATGAATAAAAATTAATTAATCGCACTAACAGCACCTGATAAGCATCTTCGTACTTCAAGGCTACAGATTGAGGCTCATCATCGACGCCAGGCTTCTCAAGATCTTCCAAAGTTGCATCTGGATTTGTTTTCCAAAGCTCTTCGATTTTATTTATCTGTTGGGCAGTAATTTGTCGAGCCCTCAATTGTTCTTGTTCAGATGGGACCTGATTTTGCAGTAACTTAAGAACTCCAGAATAGAAATGTTAAGTTTATGACAGGTTGACAAACAAGAGATGTAAGAATACCCAACCTTTAATAACCACTGCAAGAAACATCTATCATCAATTAGCGGGCACCACTGACTCAGGTCCCAATTCATGTCCTTTAATGCATTAACACTCAAACAGGGTTCCCTACAGAGGAGCACAACCACGCTTTCTGTCTTTGCAGATATAAACCCAAGAAGGAAAACGTTTCGACAACCACAGTTATAACACTCAAGGATTGTTTCGCCCAAGGGACTGTCTTTGTGAAGACAAACTTCCTTATGCTTTGCTCTTACCTAAGAAATATCAAAGTAAATCAAATCAAAAAAGAGCATAGCATGTAGATATTTAAAACCGTCAGTTCAAAGCCGCTTCGTCAGAGGCTAAATTGGGATACTTCAATATTCCATACAGAAAAGCAAGCAAAACCAAAAACACTCAGAGGCCCATGAAATACGAGTCAAATTAGCTATTAACTGAAGCCTGTATTGAAGTATATGAATCAAGAAACACTTATGGCATATTAGATATCCTGAAAATGGCATTTACCATAGGGTGCCTTAGGATCTTCCAAATGCAAGTTTAAAAAAGAAAAAGAAAAAGAAAAGAAAGCAAATAAAATGAAAAAAAAATAACAGAAAAGAAAAGAAAAACAGCTGAAGCCCATGCATTGGGATTATTTCTTTTTTCTTTTTTCTTGCACATGAACAATAACAGTGTTCTAGGGCCAACACAATCAAGTCTATATAAACCCTTCATGGTTCACATCAACAGTTTTGGGTCTTTCCAACTCTGTAATTTGTAACTAAGTTAATTAAGAAAGAAAAAAGTAAAAGCACAAATGATATAATGCTCCCTAATAACAAATGCCAGTTCGATCCAAGTGGCAAAGTAATTCTCATAAAATGCCCAAAATGGGTCTAACACAAGATCATCATAAGGCCAACTCGTGGATACATCTCATGTAAGAAAGAAAAAATAAATAAAAAGCTAAATAGGCCTCTAGATTAAAACCTAGCCTTTTCTAGGTCTAGATAGAATGCTTTAGGTATGCGGTCATTCAGATGAAATTTCACTTCTCAAAATTAATGCCAATCCTTTCCACCATCAAGCATATTATCAATCAAATGATAGATTTAGATATAGAAGAACAAACAGACTAACTCAGGCTTCACATTAGCAATAGCATAACATCATTCACAAACACATGAGGAAAAGAGCTACGTTTGTTCCAATTTCATTTATCAACCAGGACTTGAGACCAAATTTTCTACCTCGATCCCTTAAAAGTTAAAACATCTCAACACCCTTTCTTCACGTAATTTATCCATCAATTAGGACCAAAACTGGTTAAATTCAGTGATCTATAGCGCATGTATGCAAATTCCACAGAAAAAAGGCAGACTTGCAAATTGTTCTCAGTCCAAAGTACTCACCAGATGACTGACAATATGAGAACCAGAAGTATTTCCTCGCGAATTACAGAACCATTTCCTACAGGATGGCACATTGCACCTCACCACGCAAGCCGGGTTTGTGACCCCACAATACCTGCAAGCATGCTCGGTAAAGTCTCCCTTCTCATACTCGAAGACCTCGTCATCACCGCCAGTGTCTTCAAAGTTCAGGCCGCCCATCCCTGCTGCCAGTGCGTCAACGACCCCGGTCTCCTTGCTATTACTATTACTACTATTACTGGCACCACTGTTATTAATTCCACCTGCAGTGGCGCGGTCACGGTGTTTGGCGGAGGACTGTGAAGCTTCAGAGGACGAAGGAAGAACCTCGGTGGCCGACACTGAATCGGAGGGCGTGGGCCAGACGGAGGTAGACGATCGGATGGGCTGCGAGAGTTCTTGAAATTCAGGGTAATCGAAGTCCTCCTCGCCCTGAGTGTTGAATTCAAGAAACGCGTACGCGTCGTTCCCGGTGTCCGGCTGCGACGCCGTCTCGTAGAGATTGCTCGCCTGCGAATCCATGCAGGCTCTATTCAGCCCCCAATGCAACTATGCAAAATGCCGAAATCAGAGATCACTGAATTGGAGAAAATCGCTGGTGAATTGGAGAGAATTAGGACTAGGGTTTGCTATGGTGAAGGAAAAGGGGGTTAGGCGAATCAGAGTGTTCAAAGAGGGATATCGTCAGCACTGACGCGATGTGCAAATGGGGTTGACCCGACCCGACCAGCATGTCATTCGGATTGTCGGACTGGCTAGTGGTGGCACTTGAACAAAACCAAACCCATCCAATCGTGTAATATGGACTATGGTGTGGTTTTATTCGGTATTAACTAGTACGTATCCCGTGCGATACACGGAGATATAAATTTAGAGAATATTACAATTTGACATGCATTGGAATATATGAGAGTTTAGTTCGTCACGAAAAAATCATATATTATTAAAAATCTATTTGTACACCACATTATGAGTTTGATTATTGGGTGACTCGTTTTGAAGAGCACGAACCGACTTGGCCCGAACGCGGGTTGCACAAAGGGCTGCGGAAACTAGGCCTCACTCAACTGGACTCCCTTGTTGGGCTTCTCTCTTGGGCTGCAGATGTTGATTGTTGTCGCCGAAAAATTTACCCTCACACTTCGACACCTTTCCTTACTTCCAACTATATTATAAATTATATTTTATTCTAAGTTTCACTTTTTCATTCTTATTTTATGTAGATAGTTATTTCACATTCCCAGTTATACTAATAAAGTATATTTTTAGCTTGAGTCATGTAACTTCCTTAATAGTGAGTTTAATAGTGAATTAAATAATTTATAGATAGAAACATATTTTAATGATTCTCTCTAAATTATCTCCCCTCTCCCCTTTTCATTGTCCATATTTCATATTTTTTTCAAAATAAAACAAAAAATTACGTACAACAATTATTAGGTTGATCATCAAATAAATCAAAATAAGACTGTAAATAAACGTAAACTTTTCCTGAACAATCTAAATGCTAAAAGGAAAAGAAAAGACAAACAATATAAAAAACAAACACACTAAACAAAGGAAAAAACTGACATAAACCAACCAACCTAACTAACACCTGACCTGAGACACTCTACTGTCCAAACAGCATTGTCAATCTCTAACAGCAACTTGGACAGTAAACCGCATAGGTCTCTTAACCTTCTCGAATACCCACAAACTGCAAGATTTTCAAAGCCACCATAAGATGTACGTTGATAACTGAATACGGGCTTCGGAAATGTAAGACTTATCCAACTGACACACTTCCCACCACCATTGTTTGAAGAAGCCCTGCTGGAGATGGTCATGTCAACTAACTGGTGCTAGTTTCCATGTCTGCTTCGCAAAGTCACAATGAAACATAATATGCTCGATGGTTTATGTGGCCTCTCCACACATCCTGCAAATGGTATCAACTACAATGCCTCTCTTCTGCAAATTAGCACTGACTGGTAAGGAATTATTATAACATTTCCATATAAAATGCTTCACTTTCCCCATAACTTGTAATCTCCAACTCATGTTCATAGTCTTAACATCTCTAGCTAAATCAGAACTGCCTTGAGCTTGATCAAATTTGAAAAACTTCTCAGAAATAAGCTTAGAGTATGTAGAGCTAACAGTGAAGAAACCTTTTTTGTGAAGGTTCCACTGCCATCTATCATCCCGCTGGGTGTTTAAAGATCTAATGCTAAGGATCTGATCACAAATACAGGATGGAAAGTTCTTCTGACTTTATCTTCAACCCAGCCAGCACCATCATAAGTCAATAAATCACTTGGGTGCCTTTGTCAATACCAGAAAGCAAATCCACTTGTTGGCCAATTCTGCTAGGTATCCAATGCTCATCCTAGATCCTTGTCGTCTTGCCATTCGGATTTTAATTTGTAGCCATTTCCCACACTTTTGAAGCTAGAAATCCAATTGTTTCAAAGCCAGGAAGAACTTCACTTCTTTTGGACTTAAAAATTGGTAGAATGAGGGAAATACTTGGTCTTGAGAACTCTGCAGGCCAAAAAGTCAGGGTCAGAGACAAGCTTCCATATTTGTTTAGCAATAAGAGTTGTATTAAATAGTTGGATATCCTGAAAACCCAACCCTCTATGTTGTTTAGAGAGAGTTAACTTATTCCAAACAATCAATGAAAAACCTTTATTCTGATCAACATGTTTGCTCCACCAAAACTGACAACATACGCTTGAGATCTCCTTGCAAAGTCCTACTGGCAAGATAAACAAAACATTGCATACGGTAATGCATTGATATCAGCTTTAATAAGAGTTTCCTTCCCAGCTGTAGAAAGCCACTTGTTTTTCCAGTTCAGCACTCTCTTCTTCACCACATTCAAAATATACTCAAAAGCTTCATTTTTGGATCTACCCAATCCCATTGGTAATCCCAAATATCTAGTAAAGGAATGAGCCTGAATACCTTGAAGCATAGTACACAGTCTCTCTTGCAGCCACAGAGGGTAATTTTTACTAAAAAAAATAGAAGATTTAGCCAGATTCACTTGCTGCCATGTGACATACACCTCAATATGTGAAATGATCCTATCTACCTGCCTTTCCTCAGCCTTGCAGAATAACAATGTATCATCAGCAAGCATAAGATGGGTTAACATAGGACCTTCTCTAGCCAGTCTAATACCATGAAAACAACCCTTCTCTGATTCAGATCTGATTTTAGCATAAAGAAGCTTTGAAATAATAAGGAACATATAAGGGGGCAAAGGGTCCCATTGTCTTAATCCTCTAGAAGCATTGACCAAGCCACTTGTTCTACCATTTACATTAAAGGAGAAGGAATGATATTGAAAGCAAGCCATTTTTCATTTAACAAATTGAGCACTGAATCCCATTCTTATCATAGTAAGCTGAATTGATTTCCATTCTACTTTATCATAAGCTTTGATCATATCAAGCTTCAAAGCCATAAACTTGTGTTGCCCTGATCTGTGTCTGTTCAAGAAATGGAAAATTTAATGTTCAATGATAACATTATCAAGAAGATTTCTACCAGGAAGAAAAGCAGATTGATTGTCAGAGATGCAAACGTGTAAGCAATGTCTCAGTCTCAAAGCCAGCACTTTAGATATAATTTTGTAAAAGACTGAACATAGGCTTATTGGTCTGAAGTGATGAATAGAGACATGATTAGGGCACTTGGGAATTAAAGTAACAAGGGTATACGTCCAATACGTGAGAAGTTACCCAGATTCAAAGAAACTCATCACTGCTTTGCACGGATCCTATTTGAGCAATGTCCAAAAATGCTGATAGAAAAGGCCAGTCATCCCATCCTCCCATGGGGCCTTATATGGGCGAATACTAAAGACTAAAGAGTGCTTGTCTGATCTCTGTTTCATCAACTGGAGCATTCAGAAAGCTGTTCATATCCTCTGAGATTTTCTGGTCAATGAAAGGCAGAAACAAATGTCCCTGAGATGACCCTTGAGATGAATAAAGATTTTGATAGTAATCAGAAATAGTTTGTTCAATCTCCTTTTGTCCCTCTACCCATATGTGATCAACCAGGAGTCTATCTATAGTATTCATCTTCCTTCTTTGAGCTGTATAAGCATGGAAGAAATGAGTGTTTCTGTCTTTCTTTATAAACCACAAAGCTCGGGCCTTTCGTTGCCAAAAAATCTCTTTAGATACATTAGCCTCATCTAACTCTTTCTGAATTGTATCCCAAGCTTCCCAATTTCTGTTACCCCCTCCTGCCTCATATCTTCAAGTTTCATAGACAAATCAAAAATTTTGGCCATATTGTCAGAGTTGAAGAATTTGCTCCAACGCAGCAGAGCATGTCTAGCCCTTTTAACCTTCTCTTTGAATCTGAACATAAGAGTACCTTGGTCTGAGTGTTGTCAGATCATTCACCACATGTTGTACACCTTCTTTCTTTAGCCATCGATAATCAAACTGAAACCGTTTCTTATACTTGGGAGTCCCATCAGCAGTATCAATCACCAACTGACAGTGATCAGATGAGCTCTTAAAATAACTGGTGACTTTGGTGTTGGGAAATAATTCCATCCAATCCAAAGGAATAAACACTCTATCCAAAGTTTTTTCAATATAGCCTTTCCCTGATCTATTATTAGCCCAGGTATATCTCTCCCCCNNNNCCTCAGAAGAATCTCTTGCACTCCCATTTAAACTAGAAAGTTGTTGAAGCCTTCATAGCTGGTACTAGAGCTGCACATGCCTCCCTTTTTATCTTCTGCTCCATAGAGATCGTTCCAATCCCCAGCTAACAGCCATACCTCCCCCCATTCTTGCTTTCTGAGAAGAATATGATTCCACTGATGTTCTCTATTTTCCTTAGATGGGCTAAGATAGACAAAGATTGCCCAAACAGACTTCTGAAATTTTTTATCTCTGAATTGGACAGCTTTGAAAAAATGATCACTAGCCACCTGCAGAATATCCATATCCTGATTCCAAAGCCAGTATTCCTCCCTTAAGACCTCTTGGTTCCACCAAAAAGAAATTATTGGAAAAACCCAACTTAGCACAAACAGCAGAAGATTTTTTTTTTTAATTTTTTATTTCAGACAAAAAAATAAAATCCGGGTTGTGGAGCCTAATGGCTTCCTTGATTTGGGGAACTGTAGAGGGCCCTCCTAGACCTCTACAATTCCACACCAGAGCAATCATTGAGATTGTGAGACCTTCTTAAGGTTGGCCCTTTCCACCTTAGACACATCTATTTTGATCTTTTTCCTTGGCTTACCCCCAACCTTTCCATCTTGAGGACAGTCTGTTGTCCCCTCACTAAGTTCCTAGCTTCTCTTCATAGGTATTGCTTCCTCCTCCATAGAGGATTCTCCTATACTTATCAACCTCCATTCCTTCTGATTATTCATTTTCTAGGTTTTTTTGCCCAAGAGTGAAGCAGGAAGTGTTCTCTTAGGAGTTCTTTGGCTGTCTGATCTGAAAAGAATCATTTTAGATGTAGATGATTCTTCTACTTCCTTCCTCTGCACTTGA